TCCTATCTTCCACATGTAACCGTTCCCGAAATTTCTCCTCCATCACTGCTCCTATATATTGTATCGCATCATCTCCCTCTAATTGATCTCCCTGATGCGAGAGTATGAACCTCTGTCTAGCTTTTAACTCTCGCCGCAGCGCCATCTGTCGCAAATCGGAGGTACCCGCAAGCAGACGAGTACACAATCCGGTCACGGCGCTGCGGTAGACTAATATGGGCCGTTTCCCCACCTGTCCGGTTTAGAGCAAATCAGGCTTTTTTTTTTGTATTTTGTTTAATGAAATAATTAAGATTAATTAATGAACTTTTGAAATATTCAATTCAGAAAAAAAAAAATCCAATGACAAAGTTGTAGAGCGCTCTCAGAAACGTCCAATTCAGTGGTTTTTGTCAAGAAACTTTAACACGGTTTTTTTTTCTGGACTTTGAAAGAAGTCCGCCACTTACGAAAAAAAAAAAAAAAACACGTGATTTTGTGCTTGCGCGCCTTAGAGTAACTGTATATGCTATGCTTGCGTAGCACGCAGAGCCTATAGAGCGTTTTACTGAAAGAGGGCGAGAGAGAAGAAGGGAAAGGGCTAACGGCGCTTTCTCCCTTGCTGGTGCGTTAGAAAGAGTGGACGTCTCGGATGAGAGGCTTCGCCGGTGTTGAATGTATGCATTGCCCACACTTCGGTCGCGCTTTCTTCTCTATTTTAAACTCCCAAACTTAATTAGAGCCACGAGCTTGAATGGCGACAGTCCCCCGGTCATCGGGACACCATTGCTTGGTTATAGGGTGCACGAATAACGACAGAAAGCGTCGAATGCTATCCGAGGACCTATGCGGAGGGCAAGTTCGTCTGCTCGCGCAGGGGGTAGCGGTGACGTCAGAACGCCGAGCAATGATTGGCTGATCGCGCCCCCCTATCTGAGCGTCGTCTGCTCCTTTGCAACGTCGTCTGCTCGCAACGTCGTCTGCGTCTGTCTTATCTTTCCTGCGACTTTCGGAAGTGCAGAGGCCAGATTCACGAAACGATCTTACTCCAAAAATGTGCGTAAGACAAAACTTAAGAACAAATTCGTATTCACGAAACGAAATTTTCGTAAGTTTTGCGCAGGTTACGACAAAATCCTACGACAGCTCCGAAGCTGTCTTACGCACTTCTTACGATCAAATCAGCATGGCCGACAACGTCGCGGTCGCGACGACCCACGGACGTTTATTTTTTTACGTGCGGTTCTGACGCGTCCCGACTTCAAGCAGCAAGAAAAAAGTAAAAAGTACTTGAAACAGACCACGACGAACAAAAACGCTGGATCCACAAACACCCGGGAAAAGCTCCCACGGCCACGATCCCACCGAACACGACCAAACGAGCTGGGCAGTTAGGCCTAGCATGCTCTCCGCGACTCGGCGACCGTCTGCCCACGACCGGCTGGCGTGCTGAGTGGAATATGCCCGCGCGACCCTTGTGAACCCGTATACTATTTTGATTGCTGACCTCAGTTTTAGATTAAAATGTCAATTTCTTCCTCTTGTTATCTCCTTGTTTGCCGAGGCAACGGTGACTCTCGCCGATGAAAAAGCGGTGAATTTCCGACAGACGCAGCAAAGGTAAAGCAGCCATCGCTTTGACCGCTTTGACTAGCAGACGTAAAGCAGACGACGTTAACTGCGCCAACCCGCCGACGCCGTTAAAGAGTGGGGGGTCTCGCCGCACACGAATGGAGGGAAAAAGTATTTGGGAGGGAACTTGCCTCGGTTCTAAGCAAAAAAACCTCGGCGCCCCGGGACACCTCGCCAGGGAGTCCTTTGACTTCCCTCCTTGATGCGCGTCTGCTAGTTGTTAGACAAAAACAACGTACCGCTCGAGTTATTTCGTCTGCCCTCTCTTAAAGGCGAGGTCGAGTTCACTCAGTTCACTCCGAAAGTCGCAGGAAAGGTAAGACAGACGCAGACGACGTTGCGAGCAGACGACGTTGCAAAGGAGCAGACGACGCTGAGATAGGGGGTCGCGATCAGCCAATCAGAGTTCGGCGTTCTGACGTCACCGCTACTTCCTTTCTTATGCGCAGAAGACGAAAATGAGCCCACTTGCGAGGAAATCCGGTGAGTGCGGCTCCATCGCTTTCCACATGACCCCGATCTCCGGCGGCGGTGGGTTGCGTTCGTAAACCGAAAAAGGCTTTTGCCCAACGCCATCCTCGATCTCGACTGTGCTCGGAACATTTTGTGAATGGAGCGCGCACCGAACGCTGTACCACCGATGAATATGGGTGCGCTCGTAACGTGCGTGCGAGTTTTCTCGTGATAATTGCTGTTTCAGCTTGCAACATTATGTAACTCATTTTATCTTAATATTGATATCTTGAAGTGGTGACACTGACTCGATTTTATCATCTACAACACCTAGTTGAAGGCTCATTTCCGTCACCGGGTGTGGCTGGAAATTGTCGAAAAGTTAATTGTTTTATCGGTTTTTCTGAATCGCGATCTGCTGCGCGATACCAAAGAGCCATGAACCTATGTTGACCGTCAGAACGCGACTAGATTCTTATTTTCAAAATTGGACATAATGTACCTGGAAAGAAACCTTCAATTTCTGTTGCTGAAATTGAAGGTTTCTTAAGACGTCAGAGAGAAGCACCGACCACCAGGTGTGACCTCCTACGAGGGGTGGGTTACTCCGGTACAGGACCAAAAAACGACCTTGCTCGCACTGTGGAGCTTCGCTTGTGAAGCCTCCATAGTGCGCCGCACCTAACTTGTAACACCCCTTTAGCCCCTTCCCAAACAGGCCAAGTGCCACCCTTTTTCGGAATAAATTTGTTACTACTACTACTGTTGCTGAAAGTTGAAACATGGTCATGTATCGATTTCGAATCGTTGAATCATTGATGAACTCGCACTGGCGATAGTCCCATCTCGATTCTGCTGTTTTCAGATCTCGACAAAAGACACACTCGTCAACACAAAATCATAAAAAAAAGAAACCGTTTATAATTATTGAATAAAAACGAGGCGAGTATCCCAAATATTGCATCATTTGACAACAACTAAATTTCCCTTCGTCTTATTTTTTTTTTTTTTTTCGTTTTAGATGCGGTACGCTGAGAATGTTTTTTGCGTTTCCTGTCGTCCTCGAAATGAAATATAATGTAAACAAGGACGCTCGAAATAAGAACATTGCAGGGAACGATCGAAGGCAGCTCACTCCGGCTTAAAGGTGTTAATAAGCATTTTATTTGAGGATCCCGTGTCTATGGGTGTGTCCTTTGTCAAGAGAGAGAGAGAGAGAAAAAAAACATCTTTATTGACCCTCAGTTCAGGGTGTCGAAGTGGTGTCCAGGAGGACGCCATTCAGAAGGGTGAGGATAGGTAGATCATGAGGGAACTGTTAATTCCAACAATTTATGAAGACTGCACATGGTTATTGCACGCTCTTGTCGTTTTGGTTCTCTATTGGTTCAGAGTGACATCATCAATAGAAAATGTGCTAAAAATTCGGAACTTCTTTCACTTATTATGTTCAAAATACATCAAATTTCTTCTTTTTTTATTTTAATGTGCTGCTAGAGTCCCACACATTAGTTCGAACAAACACGATGCAAATAAAAAAAGAAGTGTCCAGAAACGCATAAAAGAGGCAAAAACAGATCTCTATGTTTCAAAAGTTACGTGTGTCACGAACACAGTTATCTAAATCAGTTTCAAAGTCAGAAAATTTTTAAGGTTCCCCCAAATCACTGATACACGTGCCTATCAAGGGCAAACACGCAGAAAAAGAGATGCAAAGCATCTTTCCGATAATTTGGTGGTGCATTTACTCAGTGTTGTACACATTCCTAAAAAAAAAATATGAACGAAAGCTCGTTCCTCGTTCCTTTTGATTTTTGGAACGCGTTCCCGTTACAACTTCCATCTGTAAGCAAGGAGCTCGTTCCCGTTACCGTTAAAAAAATGGAACATATCGTTACTTATACATTACATTTTTATTTTGCTGGTTAGCATATTCAATTAGATAAAACAGTTTTTTTTTTCTTCTATCCTATCAAATGACAGCATACGAATTTGAATGCAGTGATGGAAGGGCACCAGGGGTGCTATGTTCGACAAATGTTTCCTTTCTCCTAAAAAGAAACGGAGGGGACGATCGTGTCTGATTGGTTAGAGGCTCAAATGACGAAAGAGGGAACTTTCGTCATTTGAGCCCCTAATCAATCAGACGCGATATCGTCACTTCCGTTTCTTTTTAGGAGAAGCGAAACATTTGTCGAACATAGCCCCCCTGGGGACCTAATCTGGACACTTGGCGAAAAAGTCGGTGAGAAATCGGGCAACTGTGATTGGCAGCCGCCAAGGTCAAGTGCGGCGACGGCCAATCACGGCCGCTGATTTTCTCGCCGACTGTTCCACCAAGTGTGCAGATTACGGCCCCAGGAGAAGAAAACAAGCAAAAGAAAGGTTTTATTTGTTGATATATCCCCCTTTAAAAATCCCACCTTTTAACCATATTCATGTTTGTGGTGGGCAATTCAGACGAGCCAAATGAAATGTTAACCCACATTGCACGATCGTTTTACAACAACCTCACACATTTCTATCTAACAAAGTCCCTTGTTCGAACTTAACAACAGTTGCTTCTCGATGCTGCTGTCCGCAAGACGAACAAGTGAGGAAGGGGGTAGGTCTTTTGGAATGTCATTCTTGAAAACTACCAGTCCTTCGCGAAGGTTGAATTCGTTGTTCAGTTTGAAGGTGGCGGACAAGAGGAGAGGGAATAAATGTTAATTTTTGTGTATCTTTTAAGTGACCAATGTTCGGGTTACAAGGGTGCGTTTTATGTCTGGTAATCAGGTAACTGTAGGTCTCTTAGTGGAAGTTAAGTGGTTGCCGTAGTCTGCCCTAGATTACTGGGTGTATGATGATTCGTGGAAGCAAAGAAAGTAGCTGAGTTTGAAGCAGCACAGAGGCGCAGGCCTTGTGTTCTTAGTAGTATTGGCTGGGGAACTTGCCTCGAGCCGTTGGGCCAACTTGTGGATGCGGCTGACGTCCTTGGACCAGATGCTCGCGCAGAGTCCGTAGCAGACGCCGTTCACCTTTTCGACCACTTCCAGCTCGCTCTCAAAGGGCGCCAGGCACGTGACTGGGCCGAAGATCTCCTCTTGCATGCAACGCGACGTCTGCGGCAGGTCCACGATCACCGTCGGCAGCAAAAAGTAGCCCTGAGCCAGAGACAGAAAAACGCGTTCCAAAAGTCTCCAAAGATGAGGTCCCAGACACTTCGGTATGTGCCTATCGTACGCGAGCGACACAAGCAACGAGCCGACTGGTGACTTCTTTCGACAACGACATTAACGCTGCATGCAAGTTTGCCCGCTGCTCGCGCACTTCGCGCCTTCTTTTACCCACCAAATTCACCCGCGTGCTTTTGTTTCTCCCCAGTCCCCACCTCAACCAATGGCTGCTTCGTCATCGCATGTCTCCTGCACGTTCTTTATGACGCCCTTTAGTTAGCGCCTTCTCCTTGCGTTCCGATGCACCAAAGAGAATACACATATTTGAGCACTTGCTTGCCGTATACCGAGATATAGTAACGAAGAACTTAAATATCGAATCTCTCGCGCCAGGCGCATTTGAATGGCTCTTGTTTGGATGAAGCCCGAGAACAACCAGGGAGTCTCGTCCCCGCGAGAGCCAGGTTTCAGGAACAGGGGACACAGCCAGTGACAAGTTAAGAACCCGATAGAAAAGCTCCGCCTCCAGTACATGCTCGCCGCCTTTAGCCGGGTTGAGGCTGCGCGTGCGACGAAGTGTCATCAAAGGCAAAAAACTCGCTCTTGAGACGGACAATCGACTGATTTTATAGTCTCCGGGAACGGCTGGCCATAGCGTATACTATGGGCTGACAGTAGACTCTTTCACCAATTCAGTGCCATCTACACACCTTTTCCACAAGGGCGCAGCCATATTGAATGTCGCCACTTCTGGTACGCGGTAAAACGTCGTTTTGATCTCTTCACGCCGCGGGAAGGCGTTTACGAAAAATGCGTGATTGTCGCATATTCTTGTTTTGCCTCACCTATATTTTCTCGCTTGTTCCAGGTTGAAATGTTTTATTATTTCTCCTTCCCACATACCAGACACAAAACTCACGAGTCTCCCAGCCGTAGATGAGAAATTTTGCCAGCGCAGTACAACCGCTAGCCTGCAGGTTCTTTGACGTGCACCACGCAGTAGTGATCCACGACCGCACGCCGGTACGATGCCCATTCAGATCGAAACGGGGAGGGGTGGGATTCCTGGGTTCTGCAGCGCGAGCTTTCGCTCCCCGTGCTCCGAGCTGCTGTGCGCTAGCCAACTCGAAAGGAAACAGTTCTGTATGCTAATGGTGGTTAAAATCTAGTGTCAATGGCAAGCGCGCGAAAGTTAAGGTGTTCATCGCCGTACAGTTATTTCTCTATTTGTTTCAGTTTCGATGGTGTCATGAAATAATCGGTCGGTCTGTACAAGGCGCTTAGTTGAGTAAGACTCTCGGTAACATTCGCCACATATTATTGTTATGAGCTGTGTATGGCGTCCCGGAGCCGAACATTCCAAGAATTTACATAACACGCTCATACGCGTAGCGCAGACGAGCTTTTAAATCTCGTCACTGCGACATCGAACAATACAAAGAACTGACTTCAGTTTTGTTCAGGCTCCGTATCGCTGCTGTTTTCAAATTCTTCCTTCACTAGCCATTAAAAGACCGCCATTAGCATATATATACAGGTCATCTACTGCACTTCGGTGATGACATAGTAATCAAAGTGGCCAGACTGAATTTCGGAAAGGGTCTATAAAGCTCACGCTCTTGTTCTCCTTGGGCAGGTCTGGTTCCTCTCGCAGTCCTCCGCAGAGCACCTTGCCGCCGTCCTCCATGGCCAGCTTGATGTAGAACCTGACCTTCTCGAGGTGTTCCTTGCTTACCAGGGCGCCCATGAACACCGACTCGCTCTGGGGAGGACCCACCTTCAGCTTCCTGCAAACCATGGGATCATTGTCTACCTGGAAGCTCGAGCCCTTCTTTTTTATTATTTTTTTAACTTTCTAAGTGTTTAACTTTTTGATTTAACTTTTTTCATCGCTAGTCCCCCAGTATTCCGTCATCTCGGTCTACCAGAACCGTTCTAGAGTAGTTATGTTCTTCTGTGTGCAATGTGGAGCTTGATTGCAACGCGCAGCATAGAGGAACGTAACCAAACCAACATAAACTTGAAAAAAAAAAAAAAAGAATCAGTCCCGTGTTAATTGACAGTACAGTCACAGCGAAATCTGCGGCAGTCACAGCGAATTCGTTGGTCATCGGCGTCGCGTTCACGCACTCTCTGCCGCGTCACGGCTTACTTGGCCTCTTGAACGAAGGCGTCGGTGAACTTCTGGTAGATCTTCTTGTGAATGAAGATTCGACTTGTACACAGGCAGATCTCGCCCTGGTTCAGGAAGCTGGCCCTGTGTGACAGACGCCGGGGATGACCATGCAGCTGAGGAGTGGCTGTTTTACTCACCGGGCACACCTTCCTGAGCATTCGACATCAGTTTCCACGTGCAAACATTCGAAGATGAACACCGAGGACACAGACTCTGTTTCGGTCCGCTACGATGGCGCCAATCAAGCATTTTCTAAAGTGCATCGTCTTTGTGGATATGCTATCACATCCTAAACCAATCACTGACAGGAAAGGATTGTAGCACATTCACTGTGCGTGTTTGGTTTAGCCGACGATTGCGTACTTACAAAAACAACGAGCGCCATGACGAAGCACTTTTGGTGCTGCTTGCCTGGTTCCATCGAATCTTAGCGGCGGCTGCGTTTGGACTTAAAGGGGTACTCCGCCGTTTTCTTCATAGTCCCCGATTTGCCTAAAAGCTTGCTAGACACACCAACAAACATCGCTGAACTAGTAACCCAAATATTTGAACAAAATAACTTTTTTTTGTGCAGTTACAGAATTTACAATTTTGGACCTCATCGTGTTTTTCAAAGTGAAAAGCTCTACGGGCAACATTGAAAAAGTGACGTCATGGTTGGGTAGGAGTTCGCTCTTTGGGCTGTAGACTTTGTTCACATCTGATTACAAACAGTTTCATGGTGTCAAATGAATGCTTTGGAAGGTCGCTCCAGCTCCCGCACAGCAGCACGATACAAATGCTCGGCATAGTTCATATTTAGACTGCCCGCTCGAACCGCAATCCAGCCCAACCGTGACGTCAGGGCAATGAAAAGCGCGGGTATATTCGAATCTTCGTTTTGGCGTCGTTTTCATTTGCCGATTTCACAATAACTATTCTGAATTTCGCGATACTGAATAGCATACCAAAAAGAGTAACGGACGGCGATTTCGAATATATGGTTAGTTGGGGTTGCTCAAAATATCGCCGGAGTTCCCCTTTAAAGTGAAACCAATCTTAATAGAACAGCTCAATTGGGAAACTGCCATAGGAGCCTGCTTCGAAGAAGCGGCTCCGATCCGTATTCGAGAACCGAACTAGACGCGATCGCAACGCCGCCATTCCTCCCGCAGCGACCACTCCGGGAACTGCACGGCTACATGTACCGCTCCTGTCGAATCGCGCAACAGACGGTGCCGCCATCTGGCAGTAGCTATATAAAGACACTTTTATGTTTTGACTCGCCGCTAAAGGGCGGCGCTGTAATCGTATCTAGTTCGGTATCGGTGGACGCGAACGGTCCGAGTTTCAAGGGCGAGTTTCCCAACTGACTGTTCCAGTAATGTCGAGTGAAACGGAATATATATCTGGTGAGCTACCGACATTCGGGCAACTCGGAGTTCAACGAAACATAAAAAAGAGACAAGAGAAGAACACTTCCGGGTGATTTGTTTGTGTTTCGTTACTCTAAAACATCGCCATGTCAAAAAAAAAAAAAAAGAGTTTGAGCTTTTTTTTAGCGCTTCTTGTGCGAGGTTGTACAATTAAACGCAAGGAGGAAAAAGGTGAAGGAAAAAAAAACAGCATAATTATATTTTGCTTGTCTTCTTTTAAGATAAATGCATAAGAAAGACGCACCTTTTGATATTTGAATGGGAATTCAATGCGCTGTTTATACGCTCGCCGAAGCCTTGAAGCGAATAGTTCACTACTTTTGAGAAACAAATATTTAACTGCGCTTATCTCTAAGACTTGTACGAAAGAGAAATATATTTACTTGATCAGGGTGGCAACACACTTCTTGAGATCGGCGTCGTCGAACACAACAGCCGCGTTTTTGCCCCCCATCTGCGAGGGCGCACGAGAGAAAAAGCAGACTCGTGTGTATTATGCCACTTGGTTGAGACTTGTTTTATTGATTTTTTTTTTTCACGCATATTTACAACTACCAATTTAGTTTTCTCGGCTTCCAAGACATTTAATGTGCTGGAAGTGCTGTCAACAACTGCTACAAATAGAGCAATTAAGAAAAAGAACGAAAGAAAAACTGACAGGTTGCGTGCTACGGCGGCCGTCAGGTAATGCAAGAACACACTAATTAGCTAAACAATAACCTTTCTCGAAGTTTCGAAATGATACATAGATTATGTGCAGCTGCTATTAGTTGGTCATGCACTGTGAGCACGCGTCAGCACTCGGAATATACTCGTCAGCACTCGGAGTGTACTCGGATCGAAACGCATTCCACACGAGTGCTGCGTCAGTGCTCGGCGCGAACTCGGAACGAATCACGGGCTTCACGCCGAAAGATATAAGACCAACTAATGGCGGCTGCGCATAATCTATGCATCATTTCACAATTTCGGAAAGGGTCAATTAACTAACATTTACGAATTAACCTTTTAACAAGTGCAAATAAACACATTGTTCCAATTATAAACTTTCTGAGCATCATCGAAAACTCAAAGGGAACTGAGCTAGGAGCGTGTTCGTTTAAAATTAACGATAACTGACGCTGAAATAATAGAATGTGCGTTATTCTTTCAGCGTCAGTTATCGAAAACTCACACTAGAAAGATATCATATAAGGCAGGTGCAGCATTTTATAGCGAAAAACAACAACAACAGATGTTTAACTTAGACGCGTTTCTACGTTTCGGTTACTATCCCGTCGGAGCGCATCTTTGCGCCACCGGTCCTGCTCTCCGGTGGCCGAGGCTCGCAACGCACGTGTGTCATAGTTACCTCGAATATATATGGAACATGTCCTAAATACAAGCAACAAAAAATTGATAGTATGATTAATAGATGTGTTAGTAATATAGTATATGGGTCAAAACATGAACTGAAGGAAACCAAAGACAGAAAGAATGCAGTCGGACTATTATCGTTTGAAAATGTTTTTAAATTTGTCGTTTTAACCAGCCATTATTTTTCGAAGGAGTTCAAAGAAATACCCAAAAGGATAAAAACACTCCGGCACACAGAAACCTATGCAATCCCAAAAATATATACAAACTACGGAAAAAAACAGAGAAACTATTATGTTCCTGCGATATTTAATAGCTTGCCTAAGGACATCCTAAGCCTGTCATCTAAGAGGCAGATGTATAAAAAAATAAAAGAGTGGTGTTTTTTGTCAAATTGAAATTCTGAACAATGAGGTATTATGTAAAAGCTTAGTGTTTTCTATCGAGTGTATCTCGTTGCATACGTGTTGATTCTTGTCATTATGTGTTTAAATTCACAATGTTTCTTTTGTAACCATTGATTGATTGTTATTGTCGAACTGGGTTTTAGTTCACAGGAGAATTATCTACTTGTAAAATTCCTTGTTTACTGTGCTATTTTGAATGTTTCTTTCATGTTTTACTTACATTTAACCATCATTTGTGTCTACATGATGAAAATGTCTGTACTGCCATGTCCCGCATACAAGCGTACCTACGCTTAAGCGGGCTGGATTGTATGAGAGTTTTTTCTGAAATCAAATAAACTTATCTTATCTTATCTTATCTTATCCATCGAGGCAGGTGAAGGGGTAGCTTCACACCTCAGCCGAATGGGGGCGCGACCGCTGGCGAAAAGGTGCACTCCTATAGGCTCCTTGCACTGACGTCACATCGCACACTTTTGAACACCAAGTAAGAGGAGGAGAGGGAAGCTGCTTTTGTAAGAATTTTGAGCGACAGGTTAATCTTCTATAATCTTCTGGGGGGAGAATAGCGACGCCTGTACAAATCCGGGAGGTACAAAGGAGGGTCCTGATAAGAGGGGAGCTCCTTCTTCCCCTCTTCTTTGGAGGGCAACGGAAATGACGTCCTGTGCAAGGAGCCTATAGGCTTCTTGCACTGACGTCACATCGCACACTTTTGAACACCAAGTAAGAGGAGGAGAGGGAAGCTGCTTTTGTAAGAATTTTGAGTGACGGGTTAATCTTCTATAATCTTCTGGGGGGAGAATAGCGACGCCTGTACAAATCCGGGAGGCACAAAGGAGGATCCTGATAAGAGGGGAGCTCCTTCTTCCCCTCTTCTTTGGAGGGCAACGGAAGTGACGTCCTGTGCAAGGAGCCTATACGTGGCTTGCACAGGACGTCACTTCCGTTGCCCTCCAGAGAAGAGGGGAAGAGGGAGCTCCCCTCTTATCAGGATCCTCCTTTGTGCCTCCCGGATTTGCACAGGCGTCGCCATTCTCCTCCCAGAAGATTACAGAAGATTAACCTGTCACTCAAAATTCTTACAAAAGCAGCTTCCCTCTCCTCCTTTTACTTGGTGTTCAAATGTGTGCGATGTGACGTCAGTGCAAAGAACAAATGCGTTCAATTCGTTTTTTTAACGTTGTAATTGCCTTATATTTTTCTAAAATGAGTTGATTTAGTGGTTTTCGATGATGCTCAGAAAGTTTGATTAGTTCATTAAAAGTTGATTATAGTCGGTTACAAGTCAAGAAGGTAGGAGAAGCTCCTCCCACAAGTGTGATGCGCCCGTTTCAAATCTCTCCGCAGTCGAAGGGGCCGAGTGGGCTAACGCGTCTCAGCTCGGAGCGTGGAGCGAAAGCTTGCGCTGGGAACCTCCTGGGTTCGATCCCCGCCGCCCCCGCCCGTTTCGATCTGGATGAGTTTCGTACCGGCACGCGTTCGTGTGATCACTACTGCGTGATGCACGTTAAAAATCCCAGGTTAGCGGTTGTACCGCACTGACTAAATTTCTCATCTACAGCTAAGAGACCGATTACCCGTTGAGGCGCATCTCCATCAAGGCTGTATAAATATAAAGAGCAAGCCAATTTTTTTTCCGCAGTCCAAAGAAGAGTTCACTGGAAACGCTCCTTGTTCCGCTTCAATGGATTCCCACTTGTCTCCGATCCCACTTTTTAAGAAAGCGACCTTTGTATTCATCGGAGAGGGAACCGAGCCCCTGAAAGCAGCCTTTGTATCCATCGGGGGGGAAGCTAATCCCCGAAAGTCGTATTTGTTTCCGTCGGTGGGGGAGAACTCTAATCTCCCTCTCGTGGCTTACACAATGCTAAGTCAAAGTCGAAAGATAAAGCAAATATGTACAGAAAGGCAAGACCCCCCTCGCGCGTTGGCCGCGACGTCACGGAAACGGTGGGACGCTATTGGATGCGGAGGTGGCGGAGGGATATCTGATTCCCTTTGAGGGGCATTTGCCGCTACCTTCTTAACCTGTAACTGACTATAGTAAACTTCACCTCATTATTTACTAGTTAGTATGCTTTTTGCAAACTTGCCCGCCGTGGCTGGCTGTTCGTTTCCGGAAACAGTTTTTTTTTTCTTTTTTTGTATCACATTATTTTTAGCTATTTTTGAAAGACTTTTCTAAAACACCCGGTACATTGCGTGGAGTGCCCCCGATATGATGACAAATTAAGTCACCGTAACCGCCGTGTTGGCGTTCAAGGTTGCCGCGATCCTGACATTTGGTTGCAAATGCATCACCGAAGACAGAAGCGGGTGTTGCTGTCGCATCCGAACCCGTGGTTTTGAAGTGTCCGCCGACTGCTCGGCTGCAAAAAAAAAAAAAAAAAAAAGAAAGAAAAAAGCAGCAGAATGGACGCCTGTCTGCCGTACCGACCTCCGCTGTGTGTCATCGCCAGGACCGACGCAAAATGCCGATTTGTGACGTGACCGGCCTTGGTACCCTCTAGGTACCAAGGCCGTGATGCTGGATATGCAACGTCACCAACTGCGCGAGGGCCACAGATTGAACATGAGTGCCGAGCCAGCCTTCGGCTAGGTAGGTCTCGCGTCGTCACTCACTGAACACGAAGTTCAGCCAAGCGCTGCACTCAGCAGTGGTGTTCAATCTGGCTCGCGCTGGCCTGTGACATCTGATTTAAACAATCCAGCAGTGCGATCTTGTTTTCTAGGACGAGTTCCAGGCATCATAGCATTACTGCGTCTTCGTAGCTCAAGTGCAATTTGCGGTAAACGTACGGCCATAATTCCGAGCTGGACAGCATAGCGATATCAAGGTATAAATTGCCCGGCCTTTGCGCGGATTTGTTTCCTTGTACATTCTTTTTTCGGCCTCTCGCGCAGGTTCGAGAAAGTGTTCTATATATACTATATAGACAATTGCACGGTTAGCGCCCCGACTGAACGTGGCCTTGACAGGCTTGCAATTGCATGCGCTTGCCCGCACGCGAAGAGACATGGCAGCGGCCAGACGCCCTGCTCAGAGCTCGGGCCCTGCTTGCAATCGTCGATAGAGAATAGCCAGCTTAGCGCCCCGGCTGCGCTTGAACGTCGCCTTGACAGGCTTGCAATTGCATGCGCTTGCCCGCATGTGAAGAGACATGGCGGCGGCCAGATGCCCCCTTGCGATCGTCTGCACGTCCGTACCTTCAGCGAATGTTACACGCACGAGAGGCGCGCTTGGTGAAGAAGCACCGTAGTTCGAAGCGCGCATACCTCGAGGGACAGCTTCTTGGCGTACGGCGCCGACATCTGGGCGATGGTGGTGCCGGTCTTGGTGCTTCCCGTGAACGAGATGGCCTTCGTGTGCGGGTGGCGCACCATCGCGTCGCCCACGATCTGGCCGAAGCCGAACACAAAGTTCACCACGCCCGGTGGAAGCCCTGCAGAGAGAGCGCCACTTTTAGATAGGGCTCTTCTTTAGTCACCTGCAGCAACGCGGGGAGTTGCTTACTAATATTCGCGACGAGCGTTCGTGATTTGCACTTGGGTGTTTTTATCGCCTGACATTATAAAGAACGTTTTAAGAGCTAATGCCTTAATCTTATTGGATATAGAGCGATAGTCAGAATCCCGGGCAGAATAAACACTCCATGGGTGGTATCTCAGTTATCCCCCCTCCCAGCGCGAGCTTCCTACAATGAATAATGTTTAGGCGTCTCGTGAGCGTCGAGCACGCACACAGAGGACGGCGGAAGGCAGATGCTGGTGAAAGGACATTTTGAAGAGACGCCCTTCGCTTCTTTTCCTGCCATTGACGAACGATCGATCATGCGAAGCGATAATGCGATGTTTGTAACTCGCCAAGCCCAGCATTTCTCAAACTGTTAGTGACTGGCAGAAATAAAAGACACGGTGGTGACCTGCCAGTTGCGGTTTGCCTGTCTGATCAACCGAGGTGTCAACACCCCTTGATAGCCGACGTGTCCAATCCGGACATACGCGGACTGGCTCCTGACCTGCGTCGGCGAAGACCTTGGCGAGTAGCCAGGCGGTGACGGAGGTGAGTTCGCTGGGCTTGGCCACCACCGTGTTCCCGTACACCATGGCCGGGGCCAGCTTGAAGGTGAGCAGGTACAGCGGAAGGTTCCAGGGGGTGATGACGGCCACCACGCCCACGGGTGAGCGCACGGTGTAGTGCAGCACGTTGGACGTCTGCTGGGGGATCGCCCTGTGCAACACAGCAGCGGCGTGAGTCATACACGCTGGAGACATGGTGACAGAATCGTCTGCGAACACGCGTCAGTCATGTTCAAAGCATGTCTCATGCTTCGCTTCGAACTCGTCTGCCAACAGAATGACCTAGTATTTGCAGTCTGGCCGCGGCTTCAGACACGGCCAGGTTGTGAAGGGGAGGAAGTGGACTCCTAAGAGGACCACTGTCGAGACCGGTCATAACGAAGTCGGTTATCACGAAATAGCGGCTACAGCGAAGCGGTCACAATTTTCCATTCCCTTTTGCACTTCGTTATAACTAACGTGGGTTATAACGAAATAGCGGATATAGCGAAGTGATTTCCGATTCCTGTTGACTTCGTTAGAACCGGTCTCGACAGTATACTTGGTTTCGCTTTACGATAGATCGCGGCGGTGGCACGGGCCATCCCAGCCAATCCAGAGGTGTGAACGTGCTCCGCGCATCGCTGAGCCCCTCCCCAAGGTCACGTGGCGCTCCCACTACATTGGATTGGTCACGACCGCTCGTAGCATCATCTGCGCTCTATCGTAAGATGAATCGGAGAACTAGATGAATAGAAAGATTTCATCAGCTACTATCGTTATGCCGGCGCTATCGTCATGCGTCGTAGGGACACGCGCGACAACCCAGTTGCCGGTCCGCGAGAGCAGAGCACGAGCTGTCTTGTGCACTGCCTCCAGTGGACCAAAGTTACGGTGGCGTCGCGCATGTGTGGAACGGTTAGTGAGATCGGGCTATTCGGGGGACTAAAGCAGAGACGACGCGAAACGTTAGCTTCCACTGACACGCGTCGCCTTTGTGTGCGGTTCTGGTAAGTTTGAGATTTTTAGTTTTAGATCCTCAAAGAACATGATTCCTTGCACCTCCTGTCCTCCAATGCATTTCTCTAATGATCGTCAGAAAATTAGATTACGCGGCTATCATTTGGGATCCCTTCACCAAACTAAACATTATAACAAACTCGATCGTGTGCAGAAAAAGGCAGCTCGCTGCATTTATAATAGCCTTGGACGTACCTCTACAACCGAACTTTTAACCAGAGCTAACTTAAAGTCATCATCTCTCACAAATCGGACTAAAATTTTTGTATCATTTGATAAATGGACATTAGAGGATGGATCTGTCTTACTTAATAAACTTATCATCAGTCTACGCTACTCGACGGTGGCATGCGCTAACAATAACTCTTTTGCGATCGCATAATAATTGCTTCAGGTACTCTTTTTTTCCGCGAACGGTGACTGATTGGACTAACCTTCGTGAAAGTGTTGTTATGCAGCCATCATTGTCTTTATTTGAATCCTTCCAAAATTAGTTTTGTCCCTCTGTAAAATATTTGTTCTTTTGTTTCCGCGACTTGTTTGCTATTTTGTATACCTGCATGTCTTGTTAATCAAATGTACCCACCTGCTAAAATCCCTTTCAGGGATTGCAGTATCAATAAATAAATAAATAAGGCCGCCAAAAAAATTGGTAAAAAATAAAACAACAACTAAAAACAACATTTGCTGCCTCCTCCCCCAACAAGAGAGTCAACGATTTTTCTCTGGTGGAATCTTGCCGGCGTCACCCCAACACCAGACCCACTCGGGGACAGGATTGAGACTTGTGGCCGGAACCACGCGAGATACTTAGTTCCAATTTTTCTCTGTCCCCCAGCTAAGTTGTACTTTGTTAAATTTTCCCTAGATAATTTCCACCAGCGTACGTACCTCATTTTTGTTGCCTTTGCTTTACTATATAATTCACCGTTTCATCTTCTCCAGCGAAAGCCAGGGTTCCCGGTACGCTTGTCGCCCTTCCCTGCAGGCCAGGACTCTTGCGGCCGTCTCACTTAAACCGTGCACTGCAGCCAAAGCTCAAGTTTAAGTTCAAGAGGAGAAAAAGAGGAGCGGGTTTGCTTTCCCTCCTCATGAACCGGTTATCCTACGCTCTCTCCCCTGTAGCTTTGGCTGCACTGCACGGTGTTAGTGAGACGGAGTATAAGTTCCGTACGTCTCGGAATCACACGTTCAGTGGTTTTTCTCGACCCTTTACATATTTCGCGCACAGTATCTGCACCTTCAAATGTAACTCTGGATGAATGGATGGATGGATGAATGTTAATGGTTATTCCCTTTGTAACGGGCGGTAGCTTGCGCCAGCTAGCCTAAGTCTAAAGAGACAAAAACGTGATTCCTCCCGCCCTTTTAAGACCGATTTTTCTCCCCCTAACTATCACCAGGCAGTGTGGGATATCACCAGGATGACCTTCGGGGGATTGGGCAAAAAAACTAAAAAACATCACCCCCTGCCTCTTTGCAAAGGTTTGTCCCGGTTGCCAGACTGGCGCCCAAACAAAACTGACTCTTGCAGCGTGGCTGCTTGCCAACATCTTTACGCACATCTCCCTGTCGCACTGGGCCGTGGTGGCGAAGTGCCTGAAGTTGTGCACGGCCCTGGGGATGTCCACGGTGCGTGCGAGCCAGACGGGCTTGCCTTGGTCGCGGGACTCGGCCTGCGAGAACTCGTCCATCCGGCTCTCGATCAGGTCCGCGATTCGAATGAGGAACTTGGACCGCTCCGCCGGCGACTTGACGGACCACCTGCGCGCACCGGACACACTTGGGACTGCTGACAACCAAGTCCATTACGACCCCTTGCGACGACGAGAGAGCGCACTGGCACGCTGGCGCCATCTATAAGGTGGCCCTGGAACTACATTTCACCGGAGCGAAAGGGTTTGAAGCATTTGCGGAATGTACATTCTACCAACGAGAAGGGGCAGTTGACAACATTGGTAGAGCTCTTTCAAGCCAACATAGTAAAAAGTACGATGTGCAATAAAGCAGAAAAAAAAAAGGGGAGATACGTAAATCGCAAGTGTTCCACGGCTACCCTATAGATGGCGCCAGTGTGTTCCCTCATCCTCTCGTGAGCGGTCTCAGATGACTACAGTCAAGTCCCGTTCACACACTTGCGTTTTACTACCACCGATTTCGACACGGCCGAAATTTAAGCCTCATGTGACTGTTTGCGACCGGCTGCGCTGCTGCGAAGGCGGTCGTAAGCCGTCGCGAAAGGCTTAAAAACGGTTTTTAGCCTCTTCGTTCGTAAGTCGTCGCAAGTGCGCGAACCTACCTTCGAGCAAGAAGGCGGCTCATCTCATTTTTATGTACTTAAACGTTTCAACGGCACCTCGTTGCAAGAGATCACAAGAGGACACAAAGGCCCGTTCACACGCTTGTGCTTGACTGGAGGACCGACTGAGACAAGTCCGGGTTTTAAGTCTTTCGTGACAACTTACGACCAGGGGCATTGCTGCGCAGCCGCTCGTAAAGGCCCGTTCACACTCTTGCGACTGTCTGAGACCGAGAGAGACCAGACCGGTTTTTAAGCCTCTTGTGACTTCTTAGGACCAGCTCCGCTGCATCGCATCCGGTCCTAAGAAGTCGCAAAAGGCTTAAAAACCGGTCTGGCCTCTCTCGGTCGAAGTCGGTCGCAAGAGTGTGAACGGGCTTTAAGTCGCCACGAGAGACTTAAAAACCGGTCTTCTCTCAGTTGGTCCTAGTCAAGCGCGAGTGCCGGTCGTAGGCTGTCGCGGGTGTAGAACGAGCCTTTGGATCACGATACTGTGGGAGAGGAGGCGTCCTCATGTCTAATTACCGTTACCAACACGCTCGTTTTGTAGTTAAGAGGGGGCGTCATTCGGCATTTCTTCCGAGCTCACAGGAGACATATGCGCCTGTCGGATGACGTACGTGGTGAAGGCCATCGTGGCGGCCTGCACTGCCTTGTCCACTTCCCGGGACCCGCTGTTCGGGATGCGCGAGTACACCTGCCCCGTGGACGGGTCCACGTTCTCGATGGTCTCCGAGTGGGCCTCGAACTTGCCGTTGATAAAGTTCTCCACAGTCAGCATCCTGCGGGCAAGGCCGTGACAAGTCAACACCACCAAGAATCATCGAAGCCTGCGCGCTAGAATTTTGACGTCATCAAAGTGAGATCGAGCGAAGATAGCTATTGGACGCGAGTGCCGCGTCAGCGTTCGGCCGGGCTTCGTGTCCAATGAACGCGTAGAAGGACGCTCGGCGTCTGGGGTATAATAGTGGATCCAAGAGCGGGGTGCTGCCGGCACGTAAAAAATGGCACAAATCTTAAAGCGCGAAAGATAAGACGTGCAAAACGAAGGGGGAAAAAAAAAAGCCTTTCTCCTTCCCTTTGTACGTCTTATCTCTCACGCTTTTAGTTTGGTATAATATCCGAGATAATATAGTACGGGTGCAGGCGAGCTGGTGAATGTTAACCATGTTGAATAAATTGAGACGGCGTCCTGTCCTTTTCTGTTCCTTCGACTTATATGTTCATTTCTGCCCCAGTCTCAGGTTTATTCAACATGGATAATATCCGAGTCGGCGCCATCCGGGTGTGATGACTTATCAATTTATCATGGAGGAAGATGAGGGAGATGAGGCCTTCCTTTTTCTATGCAGTAATGGCCAAGTGTGGGTTACGTTAGTGCCGCCTCGAAATCGTAATAACATATAAAATAAAACCAATTTTTTCTTTTTATGCAGAAACATTGCGCGTTCGCCGTAACTATAATGGCTGAGCCCACTACACAAAATTACGAGGAAGATTTATATTTACTTGGCAAAGTGCCTGTCTACAGAGTCCCAGGTGGCAGGTTCGAATCCCAGCGGAGGTTTCCGCACTCTGACTGTGGCGTATTGCGGACAAGGCGCCGTGGAACCGACATTTCGGATGCACGTCGGGAGATCCTCAGGAGGTCGAACATAATCCTCGGTCCTCGGCTGGGGCGTGCCAGGTGACCTTCGCTGGCTCAACACGTACCCCAAACGTCTACCCTATAGCTTCCCCTCCCCTTCGAATTGTCCCGGGTGCATCCGCTGGGGCCATCTTGGCCGCGGACTAACTACGAATAAACTCGCGTATGTTTGAAAACCAAGTACCATACCGATGCTCCTGTATGCTCCAAACTACTCTGGCTTCCGTAGTCGATTACAGCGCCAAGTAGCTTGAAAACCCTGCCTCCGCGCATAAGAAGAGATCGGCCGACAGTTCACCAACATAGATGCCGACGAGACGCTGCCACGCGAATGGTTAATGTGCTTCGAGTGTTCCTCCCACAATATTTCGTTCTACACAGTGAAATGTGCACTTAGAAGAAAAAGCACAGCTCTACAGAGCCATTACGTAAGATACGCCCTAAAACGTAAATTCAATCTTGAAATTCTATCTGAAGCTTGATTTGAAATCGAAAGAAACAGTTTTTTTCTCTTCCAGATATGCTAAAACAGTCCGTGACGCTGTTTCGCTGTGTCACGGCGTGACATAGCAAAACAGCGTCCTGACATCGTATCTGGAGTTCGAGAAGCTTAAGATACAGTGTTTGCATGGGACGGTAATTGCACCGTGGTCTTTCCTACATGTCCTTGCCAAGGGAAACAAATTCAGAGGGTCAGAGGTGCGAAATGTATGCTGCAGGGAGTGTACGCGCTCAGCAGCAAGGTCCTTCACAACGAACGCTGAGGTGACGTCAGTGCAAGCCATGTATTGCGCCCCTAAGCACCAAAATGGCGGCGCCCACAGGAGGATTGGAAAGCAGAAAGCCGATACTCTATAGTCGGAGACAGGTTAAGAGTGAGGTGGTAGCTTGTCCCACCTTTTTCCACTTTAGCAGAGCGAACACTGGAGAGGAGGCGACCTCCTCTCCTGCGTTTGCTCTGCTAAGGTAGAAAGAGATGGGAGGAGCTTTACTCTCAACCTGTCGTCAACTATGAGCGAAGCTCTCTAGAGGGTCTAACCATGGGTATACCACTAGCACTGCCGAATGACGTCACTAAAAGCGCGGATTTACAGAGAAGAACGGGCCTAGCAGGAACGCTCCCTGCCAGCTCGTGCAGTGCAGATCGTCTCCCGGATTGACTGAGGCAAACCTGGCGTCCGGTGCTGTTACGGAAAAGGACCCCGATCGCAAGGACTTACTCGTCGGGCTTCATCATGGTGGTATGCCGCACTGCACAGAGCCTACGGTGTCGGAGCCGACGTTCGTCGCCGCAGCCGCTACTGGTATTGCCGCTGCCGCCGTTGCTGCTGGGCCTCGATGTCTCGTGGTTTGTATCTCGAGCGGCGCAGTCCCCACAGCGCACACAAAGATCCTCGCGATTTCTGCGCGAACACAACCAAATCCCCCCGTAAAATTTCCCACAGCAAATCCGCACGCTTTTATATTAGCTAATTATAGCTGCACAGCAAGTGTGACGTCAATTAAAAACATTTTACTTCTACCACGTCTTGCACATCGCCGGTAAATTTCTAGCATTTGTCTTAAAAAAAAAAAAAATTCCACCTCAACTCCGTATTCATAAATCAGATAACAGAGAGTTTTAGTAGATCGGGTTTTCAGGCCACGCTAATCGTAGCGGGAGCTCGCGCTGCCACTTCGATGCATGCTCTGAAGCGCGCGCTCGTAGCGGTAGCGGGCCTTTGAAAACGATCTACTAAAACGCCTTAATAACCCCACCATCATTCGTTTCAGCTCGTCTTGATCACCATCACAAAGTAGGCGTTTCTTCTTGCCGCTATAACAAATATTTTGCCTAATTTTTTCCGAGAGTTTCAAGGGAATGAAACCATGCAGTTGCCTGCATCAATTGCATCAATTGTTGATTGTGCTCTTTTTTGTTCAAGTGTCAGTAACCATGTTTTTTCCTTTCTTAACTCTTTTTTTTTTTCGTTGTGTTTTATTTCTTTTTTACCACTCCTTTCTGTAATGCCTCTCTGGCCCTGACGGTAAAATAAATGAATAAAATAAAGAAATGTAGAGTCACTGACAACTATATATATATATTTCCTATTTCCACTTTACCATAGCGAACGCTGGAGAGGCGGTCGCCTCTCATCCAGCGTTCACTCTGTGGAATATCGTCCACTTTAGCCGTAACCTGTCACCGACCATAACAAAAAGCAAAAAAAAAAAAAAAAAAAAAGACTCAAAGACAAGTAGGCGAACGGCATTAACACACCACTATGTATTTGTCTAGCCCAGCTTCAAACTCTATTACCAATCACTGCAATCCAGGGAAAAAACTCATTATAAATGTCGGATGTTTTTTTTTTTTTGTGAGGGGGGGGGGGGAGGTGGTTTAAGCATATTTTCTCCGTAGATTGCATCAATTGGCTCTCCCAAATGTTTCACGGTAATGTAGAAACTCTACATTTCTTAAGACAATTGCAAGCAGGGTACCTGGCCGGCGCCATGTCTCTGCTCGTGCGTATATAAAAGCCCGTGGAAATGCAAGCTTGAAAAAACTATGTTCACGCGCAAGCTGCACGTGTTTGTACGCATGGGGCGCCGGTCGGGCGCGACACTTGCAATTGTCTTTAGAGTGAGGGACGCGGAATGAATTCACACCCACCTGAGGTTCCTCTGCAGGCCGTCAAAAAGTCCCCGAGCGCGCTTCTTCCGAGAGCTGCTCTTCTCGTCCGAGAAACTCTTCCCAATCTTATCTTTGCGGGGCAATTGGCGGGCTGTTAAGACGGGGGTGCAGCAGACTTGACTTTACGACCCGCGGTCTCGCTCCTCGGTCGCTCCGTCATTACACCATCTCCAAAATCTTGTTTGGGGGTGCTCGGTCAAAAACGAGGCTTCTTTTGAGTCGACGTTAGAGACACCGTTCCAGTGAATCGCTTAACGTTTACAAACGTCAACAGTTTGTGTCTATAGGCACACCGTCGTGTACCCTTCTACTGCCACGACACCTCAAGATGCTCATACTTACCCCTCCCACTGAAAGGGGCCCTGCAATCCTATATAAGCGTCTACTTTTTGTTTTCTTTTTTTTTTTTTTTGTTGCGATTTCCACGTTTTTTTTGGTTCGGGCAACCCAGTCGGCACGGAGAGAGGAACTAAATATCAGTGCGTCATATTTTAACCGGACGACGCAGAAACCTCCTCCTCCCACGGGGACGCCCCGTGGTGTTGAACGCGCGCGGCATGTGACGAAATCGTGACGCTGTTGGTCCTGGTCAGCCGAGGAGAGGCCTCCCCGTCCACGGGCAGCTCTTCCTCCTAAGCCTCACCTTGTTTCCCTGTCTTCCCCTCCCTTCCCACATTCCTCAGGCACCGCGGTCCGCGGGCGCGGGAAATGGGGAGACATCATGGAGGTTATTGTACAGCGGAGATGTTAAAGGGATACTTCAACGAAATTTGAAATATCCCCGTCTTGTTCAAAAATAGGTTGAATATGATCCACAATATCCGTAAATGACAATCGCACGTTTGTATTTTGAACCTGGTGACTGTATTTTTCGTTATAAACGGCCCACTCTGCAAGCGCTCGGAGAAGGCCCAGCGGAGACCACGTGACATCCAACGCAATCGTGACGTAGGTCGTCTCAGGACGAGCAAAGCTACGGCGAGGCTGACGTCGAGACGATGGCCTAGTCGTTCCAGCCACCGAAGCGGCTGCTTTTGTACGAATTTTGAGTGACGGGTTAATCTTCTGTAATCTTGTAGGGGGACAATAGCGACTTCTGCGACACACAAAAGGGATTCTCGGGAAGAGGGGAGTTCCTCCTTCCCCTCTTCTCTCGTCGTGGCCGGGGGCGAGACACTCACCGTCACTAGCTGTCAAGGTTCATAGACGGGCATTACAAGCGAGGCGTTAGCAACACCCACCTGGTGCTCTTTGCTAATCGTTTAATTCGTTTTAAAATTCCTTTTCGAGACTTTTTTTAACAAGATATTGGTATGTTCGATGTGATACTGCTCTTTTGAAGACATATAGACCAAAAAATGAGCGCCGAAATTTCGTTTCCCCAGGATCGTGTCCCCCGCAAAGAAATGTCGACACAAAACTCTGGTTGCCGCCGTCGCTCACAGATGGCGGTAGCTGTCCAGAGTGTTGCGTTTGCCGGTTGTCCGCTTGCCGCCGTCGCTCATAGATGGCGCAACCTTTCCAGTCTTTCCACTCTGGCTTGCCGACTTGCGGGCGGCCATTACTTCATTCCACCCATAGTACAGCTTCGCTGGTCTTCCTTCTTCACCAAAGTGGAAAGGCTAAAAGTTGTTTTGCTTGTTTTTGTAATTTTAATATGCCTATAACTTTTCCAATAAAGCGCATTTCGAGAATCGAAAAAAAGTTCACTAAGTTACTACGTTCAGTGTGCTCAGGTCCGGTGTAAATTAAAATAAAAAAATAAATAAATAAACAGCAAAAAGTTGTTGCTGGGCCCCTTTTAAGCTCTCTGTGGCTATGCGGAGAGCAAGTCGTCTGCTTCTTGCGTAAGGGTTGCGGTGACGTCAGAACGACGCAGAGTTCTGATTGGCCTTGATTGGAAGGATAGTGGGTAGACCTCAATGCCAGATGCCTTGGGGTCTACCCACTATTTTTTTTTCAACCAGCCAATAAGAGCTCGGCGTTCTGACATCATCGCGACCCCTGTGCAAGAAGCAGACGAACTTGCGCTCCGTATAGTGAGATGTTAGTTCCATAGGGCAGTGTAGTGGGACCTCTAGCTACTGTCTTCTTGTCTACGCTAAAGACTTGCCACCAGCAGTCTCGTCATGCGTGAAAGACCCTTCGTCGACGATTGGGATCTTTATCGCCGCACTTCTCGCTCTAGCGTAATGTACAAGGTACATTACGCGTACGTGATGGTAAGGTACGTAATGCACAAGGTACATTGTGCGTAATGTACCAGGCTTTTTTTCATCGCAAATATAAACTACCGGTAAGCATCACCGAACGCTCATTCTCCGCCCAAAAGTCGGGCTAGACGTCCGAACCAGATGCTAAAGTTTCAGCACCAACCGTTATTTTATTCAAAAGTTATAAGAGTTTTTCTGAAATTTTCGAAATGGCGGCCGACGAAGTTCTTGAGCGCATGGAGTTCTATGGCGCCACAAACCGAGAACGGGCGAAAATGGGCCCCATTTCACCATTAAAATTTAAAAAAAATCCACTTAACTTTTGAATAAGATATTGGGGGAGGATAAGCATATTTTATTTTTGCAGCTAAAAAAAAATAACTTTTTTTTTCCGGGAGAGGGGGGGGGGGGGGGGGGCACGTTGTAGATTTAGCATGCTTGTAGAAAGCATGCCAAACGCGGAACACGGATTTCTTAAAGCTCCTATTATCATATGTGGATTAACGTTTTCAAAACTGTTTTTATTTAATCGCTCAAACGTTCTTTTTTTTTTTTTATTTGATTAATCCTTTCACACAAGTATTTGCAGAGGAAGCGCCTCAATGGTAAATAGAAAAATAAGAACGCGCTTAACTTTGCAACTTATCTCACTCTTTCGTCAGCTTTCCAGGTTGCTCCTTTCACCGTCTGTTGTTTCTGAGAGTTTTGTTACTTTTGAATATTTTAGACTGTAAATGGTGCTAACAGGACAATCGCCTTGATATTGCAATCAACCCGTGAATCCCGCTGTACCACGCTATGTACCGCACCGAAAGCATAAACCGATGCAACTGCCCTCCTCTCTCCTTCCCTCTCCTTCCCTATCCTCCCCCCCACCCCCCCCCCCCCCCCCCAAAAAAAAAAAAAAAAAAAAAGGAGGAGGGCGGCAACAGTATGAGGCGAGGCTGGTTCCCGAGAGAGGCTGCTCCAGCAGGCGTTTGCGCAAGTCCACATAACGTTGATAAAATAAACATAAAATGATCGACAGATTCAACTTCCGTAGGGCGCATGAGGGAGCTCACAATGTCCAGGTCTTTTAGCGTAAACGTTCAGGTAAGATATCCGGCACCTCAGCGCCATTACGCCGTTTATTTCTTTATCTCTTTGAGTATTTACTTAGCCATCTGGTATTACAGTGGATGAGAATACGTACAAATACACGAAGGAAACGCGAGGGAAAACACGTTACGTATTTAGTCCTTGAAAAGAGGCGTAATTGAATGTGAATGTTACTCTGCGTGAGTGTGTCAGAACGGCCATCTCAGTAACGAAACGCACTCGCGTTTTATTTCCTCCTATTTTTTTGGGTTCACGACAAGGGCGCACTGCCTGCTGTCCTGGGCGCGAACCGCGGCAGCCCGGTCCGAGGGTACAGAAGCCGGGCTCCCCGACACGTGCTGCACGAAGTGAGAGGATGGCTTGCACGCGGCGGCCTGGTTCGAGGGTGTGGACGCCAGGCTCCCTGCGGCGTGCCGCACGAGACGAGACCTCGTGCTCGAGGTGTCCCTCGTCGCCGGAGCCCCACGCGGCCGGGACTCCCCGGAGACCCCGCGCATCGCCTCGCTGTCGGCCGGACGGGCGTGCACGAGGTTCATGTTCTCGTCGACCTCGGCGGAAGCGAGCGGCGGCAGGGCGAGCAGGGTGGTCCCGCAGAGGGGAGTCTCCAGGAAGCTGAGGCCCGGCTGGACGGCGTTGGCCGTCGCCCTGTAGCGGCACACGCTGCGCAGTCCGGACTTTGTCGAGGACGTCAGGCCGCCCACCAGGAACACCGAGCGTCCTGCGAACACATATGCACGATGCGACCCCCCCGAGACGGCGCCGAAGTTCTTTTTCAGACCGCGACAGAGTTAGAGAGAACACGCTATCGACGCTTCTTTGAAGTCTTCCCAGACGCTTGAGGAAGACAGGCTTTCACCGGTTAAGTTGGTGACTATAGATAAACGTTTTTCCCACGTGTGTAATGCTCATGTCAGCATTTACTATTTAAAGAAAACAAGAACTATTCCTCTGTTTGGTATATCCTAAAGGCGCTTTAAATGCGGAGCATATAGAAGTCCTCTGGGACGTCAGACAGATGACGGTCTTTGCGTGACACGCAACGACGCGACTCGATTTTTGTATTGAGCACTTGAGCAAACAAAACGGGCCATCGCGTCGTGTATTAGCGATGTGCGCGACCAAAAGCGTCGCTGTGGTCAGCTTTCCACGATTAGCCAAACCATGGGCATATGAGCACTGCCAGATTGTCAACTTTGACAGTGTTCGTTTCGGATTGCGATGGCTCCTAGCTTCCACTGTGCTTTTTAAACACACCATCGAACTCGTCGTCACCCCCGATGGTAAGTAGCCAGAATAACAACTGGTGACGTCACAGCGAGGTAAATCCCAGTCGTGACGTCACGGAGGGAACCCATAATAGGGCGCCACCGAAAAATCTCGGCGCTAATAGCCTCCACCCGGGGCCCGTCGCAGGGTCGACCGATGGCTCACCGACGGCGACCGCGGCAGCGTCGTGACAGGGCCGCGGCAGGGGCCCCCTCTTATCCCAGGACTGCTCCTGGCAGGCCCAGACCTCGGAGAGCGATTGGAGCTCGGTGCCATTGGCCGAGCAGCCGCCCAGCGCGAACAGCCTGTCCCCGACGACGGTGAGCGTGAAGAAGCAGCGCGGAGACGGCAGGAAGCTCACGTGGAACGAGAACCTGCATGCCCACGGCGGGGAGTCGACACTCGGAATACTCCCGAAGGGTCCTCAAAAATATGCGGACAGCAAGTTACCTCAGGCGAGGCTGAGCAAAGAAAGTACCCAACAGACATACTCTGAACTCTCAAGAAGGAGGTGCTCTGCTTGGCGATCTTCACTGGCTGGTTTTTCTCGACCGCTGTCTTCCGTAGCTGCCTGGTGTGGACCTATGGTCTCTGAGAGCTTAAGAAATGTTTCTTAACGTTTCTTAAGTTCAAGTTTCTTAAGATCACGTTTCTTACTTCGTGATTAATTCTGCTTTCTGTCTTCTAAGTACTTTCTATTTACGAGTTGTGCATAAAAGCATTTGCCTTTACTGCAGACAGTGGTGAGAAACCGGCAACGGGCAGCGACACTTGTCGGTTACCGGAACGCGATCGTTCCACCGCGGAGTTAGGAGAACCTTGTCATTTCGGGCATCTTCCAAGCAGCAAAAAGGACGCCGTGTTTCAAAGAACGAGCGACAGCGGGTACAGTATATTACTACCACCGGGTCTCAAACACGCGGCTCGCAGGTAGCCGGCTACGAGTCCCGGTTCTCATGTCTCGAGCGCTAGAAAATGACTTGCGCCATAATGATCTCATCTCGTCGATTCATTTTTGCTCGAAAAGTAGCTGTGCTCTTTTAACGTATTCGCATAGTTTATACTTATCTGTGTTCATTTGCCCTTTGTTTCTTTTTATTTGTTGCTTCCCAGCTTTTTGTAATGTGCAACAATTCTGCTACTAGGCTGCAAGAGCGAACTCTTTGTTGAAGGATGCATCTCGTCTGCGTGAACTCTCGATCAGCAGGAGCAACTGCCAAAGATAAAGTACGAGCTCGGGATCCTCGACCCAAAAAAGAAAAATATCACCATTGAAAGACAAGTATTTTTTCAGAGTGCTGCAATGGAAATCGTCAGGAAAGCAAGAAATGTTCAATTAACGTATTGCTGTTTAAATATGTGTTGAGCTTAATTAATTCTTGAGTGAGTTAAGCAACGGAAACGACAATGTACTCTCACTTCAAATTACACTGTCGTTTTTTCTTGTTCTATTAAAAATTCTCGCATGGTGGCGGGGCGTTGTGATTTTACCTTCTTCTTATCACATCATGTCAGTGCTCAATGTAGTATTATAAACAAATCAAATCTAAAGATATCACTGGCGAAACTGCGAGTTTACAGAAAGCATAGAGCACCGATGTCTCTTCTCTTTAAAATCTTTTGAGCACCCCCCCCCTCCCCCTCCATCTTACGTTGGCCCTCGACCTTTCCGGTGTGGGCTATCTGGCCCCCACATTCAAATGATTTGGAGACCACTAAATAAGGCCTGCGCATTGCGTGACTGTTGCTGAACCCCGCCCAAGCTTCAAACACGCTGAGGCTCGACGAGGGTATGCGCAAGAGACGTGGACGCATTCGTCTTGGTGTCACCTGCTACCTTTTCTGCTTGGTGGTCGCCATCTTGAATGATGGAACTTTCGGTAGGGGGGAAAACATTATGTATCTTGCCGACGCCACGCAACGAGATGGTGCTCACCTTTTTTTCGCGATTGTCGATCCTTGTTTTCCTTGTTCTCTATATTTTTTTTGCTTGTTATGTTTCGCTTTTTTTCCGTCGCCCATACTGGAGAGTCAGTAGAAAAAGGTCTCACTCGTGCGTGCGCGGGTCGAAGCAGTCGACGTCTGAGATGACGACAAGTCCCGCAGATGCTTCGCTGAGTCCCCCCGCCAGCCAGAGGCGGCCCCGATGCAGCGCCAGGCCCGCGGCCATCCGGGGACGGCAGAGGCGCGCCGGCAGCTCCTGCCAGTGCTTGTCGCCCACCGTGTGCATCTCGACCGATGACAACACCCTGGGGGCGCGGAAGTTGGCTTCTGAACGGCTCCGCCAAAGAATCTGGCCGGGTGCGTGGAGCAGCGCCCTAAGACGTCCCTCGCTTGTGCAGAAGGACTTAACCTCCTTTACCCCCCGCTTTACCCCTCGCATGCCCCAACTGTCAACAGGACCGAGACACCATCTACCACATGGTCCTGGCCTGCCCGAAACATCTAAAACTACAAGACGCAGCACGAATTCGAAACCGCCTCAACTCCTGGGGGACGGCCATTAGAGCCTCGGACGCGGAAGATCAGCGCCAGCTGGTTATCCAAGCCGATGAGGCGAGCAAGGACAATGGGACCCCGGACATAGGGACCACCCCAGCGTCGCGCTTGTTGTCAGACACTGCGAGACACGCTGGCGACGAAGCGGGGGCGCTTTGTGGATACACCAGTGATGATGTTTAGGCGGGTCTCGTCTTCGATAGGTGCTATTTATGGGACAAGAAGGGGTGGCACCGACCGTCCGTCGGAGTTCCTGCCGCCCAGCACGTAGATGGTCTGGTCGACAATGGCCGCCGCGTGGTAGGCCCTGGCGTGGGCCATGCCGGGCAGCGGCTGCCACAACCTCCGGCTCAGGTCGAACGCGAAGCACATGTTGGTCGGCTCCAGCTGGCCGCCGGCCGTCTGGTAGTTGTCGTAGCCGCCTGAAAGCAGCACGGCGTCGTGGCCATGGGTTAACGTTACCAGCGACCTTTACCTTTTACGTTGTATAGTGCATGGTATCCATCATTTAAGGAACGGTTGTTTAAATCTGTTGAGGAGACATGAGACAGTCGTTTGGGGGAGTGAAGACCATCGTGCCTCATGTAACGTAAGGTCACGTGACGTCACTAAGTTAAGGGGGAAATTGACGTCACGATGTCAAGTCGTCCACTCGATAGCATGATGTCACCTGACGTGCATTTTTCCTCTAAATATAGTGGGGGAAATTCACGTCACGTGACATAAGGTTACCTGACGTGGGACGTGACGTGACTTAATGCCACACGACGTCAGGGCCGACGACATCAATTTATCGATTTCCCGCTAAATTTAGCGGTGTATTTGACGTCATAATCTGGAGTCGTGGTGGCGGGTGATGCCCTGACGTCGTTTTTCGCTGTTATTTAACGGGGGAACACCCGAGCGAATGAGTAGACACATTTTTGGGATTAGGAGGTTCCGTTCAGGAGCGCACCAGGCTTTAAAAACAGCAACGTCACTTGGTCACAGGCGACGAAAATGTCAACTGGCACCTGGGAAGCTAAGCTAGGAATCTGCAGACGATATTGAACACTCCAGTTTGAGGTCATGCCACTGCTTTGGTTTATTTCGAATCTATTCGCCTCAACATTGCATGCACCTCCGATCTCAGGCGTTGACCTTAGCGAAGCCCAAACTTATTCTTTCTCAGAAGACCACGCCGTTAGATAAACGGAGCTCCCTCTGCTATTCTAAAAGCATGTGGTAGTAAAGCGACCTATATCTTTTAGGTAGGAGCTTGCTTGTCGCCTTATGCAGCTTACAACAGTTCATTTGTGAAAAAAATTGAAAATCATTTTATGGCTCGTGTTTCTCGGCCGTGGACTTACCCATGACGAAGACTTTGTCTTCGTACAGGATGGCGCAGTGGTGGTGCCTCGGCATGGGGAACGAGGCGTACTGCTCCCACTTGTTGTTCCGAACGTGGTATCTCAGTATGTTGCTGCCTGCGCGAACATATCGGGTCCTCGCAGGCACGTAGCCAGGGGGGCAACCCATGGGGCCCGCCCCCCCCCCCCCCTTCCCCGAAATCTGATTTTGCTGGGACCTTCTCTCCCCCCTCTCCCTCATACAGCATTTTGTCATGGGCGGCCCCCCCCCCCCCCCCCCCCGAAACAAAATCCTGGCTACGTGCCTGGGTCCTTGGGCTTTGACTCACGTCGAGTGCAGGGATTGATCGTTGTTAGATATATATTGAACGTCCTTGAAGTGATACGTACAAAAAGCCTTTAAAACGCCCTGTAGATTAAAAAAAAAAAAAACTAAATAATTTTGAAGTTTGTCATTTATACTTAGACTTGCAATGTTCTCTGTTGTTTCTAACGTTCGGTCTTACTTTGAGAGTGCGTTTTCACTCGTTTTATTTGTTGTTGTGTCTCAAGTTTCGGCTTTCAAATTTAGTTTGATGAATACTAGGCTGAGGTGGACGTCGGCTCATAGAGGAATTTTCTTTCTTATATTTTGATCCGGCGAACGTCATGCGCTAATATCGCGGTCCGAAAAATCCGGTTTCGTTTTCTCAATCCAACAATCAGCCATCCCCTGCACCGGTGTCCACATCCGAGGCAGAGGAGGCGGCGTTTGAAGGGGAGCGTACCGGTGGCGGTCTCGAACGGCGCCTCCGGGTTGTATCCTCCGACGGCGAGGAGCACGGCGGACGCGGCGTCCCACGGCGAGCCCGCCACGCCGGGGAGCTTCTCGTAGGGGTCCCGGCTCCACATGGGCTGCTGGTCCCCGTCGCCGGGCGGGCGGACCAGGTAGTCGCACAGGGGGTCGCTCGCGGTCAGCGGGGAACGCTGCACACAGCGCGCGTCTCCTTCTCACGCCGGCCGAAAACATCCCCAGGGGAGAACTTAACCCACCGCCTAAACCTTAAAAACAACTTTATCATAAAAAAAAGAACACACACACACACATACACACACACACACGCCGAAGTCGCGTTTGCGCCGACAGCGTCGCGCAGTGTTCTTAACGTGGCGTGAGGTCTCTTTTCGGAGCCTTCGCAGAACTGACCTGCGCGTGGACGAGCCGAGGCCTCCGAACGGCGTTTGGAGAAGCGTCGATGCCCCTGACAAGGCTGGGCGGCTTGGCCCCGCTGCCCACTCGCCCGTCCGCTCTGAAGATGTCCAGGTCCTGCCGGAGCCGAGTGGCGGTTGGAAGGGCGCGGAGGGCTCGCGCGCAGTGACGGACTGCGCCGCGGGTTAGCCAGCGAGCGCGGACAAGGCCCGAGCATTTCCTCCTCTGACATCACTTGTGTAGTCACTTCTAGCTTTAAAAAGGTAGGACGTGGCTCATTGTAACAAAATAAGTTGGTGGCCTAGTTGGTTGAGCATCATCAAAATATTAGCGCGAAAGGCAAAGGACAAGGAACTTCACTGATGGCGCGCTTATGAAGGATTCGCTTCTTGCTTCGTAGATTTCTCTAGTCCTTTTGTCGTGGAACCGCCAAAGGATAACTGCGCTAGAGAACAACGTGACGCACCCGCAGTCACTCACATGCAAGGCTAGGTGACGTGACGGCGAGGACTTCAGAGAAAGCTCATCCTCCCTGAGCTTAATGTTGACGCATCGTCCGGTCTGGCGCACGTAAACGTTTCCACATAAAAACGGTATCTCGTACACAACTGCACAGTCACAGTTGATGTACTTGCGGGCATGTCTAACGCTGCATTTGTCCGCCTTGTCGCGCTGCGAGTTTATTGTGGGGCAGAGTCTTCTCAGCTTGTCTGGAGCAGATAGCACCTCCCGGATGCGGCTCTCTTGAAGCTGTGGGAGATGCGATGCATCTATGGGACGACCGCCAGGTCGGTGTCGTGTCTCTCCACACTGTCTTGGTCGGTCAGATTTGATCATGCGTTGATCCACATCTGAGAGGATGGAAGTAGGGAAGCCGGAAGCATCGAGCTTTCCTTTTTACATTTTAAATTTTTTTTTTATATAAATTTATTTTTGTCCTTTTCTTCCTTTATTTGTTCATTAAAATGTCAGTTGAAAGTAGCGCCTATCCTGTCCTGTCCTTCCTTGCCCTTTGTCATTCGCGCTAATATTTTTATCATGGCACATTCTGATTCTGTTATAGGGCAACTCCTCTTCAACCTCTACATCAACGACCTTGCGGTCGACATACAATCTAACATTCTTCGGTATGCAGATGATCACATACTGTACCGCATAATCCACTCCTCTCACGACCGCCAAATCCTGCAGTCCGATCTGCACAGGATCTGCAGGTGGTCAGAAGTCAACGGACTGCTCCTCAACCCAGACAAGACTGTGTACCTTAAAATATCAAGAAAAAGGAAACCCGTCGACGTTGTCTACAATGCACAAGGGAAGCGCATACAAGAAGTCACAGACACTAAGATTCTTGGTGTTTGGTTTGACAAGACCCTGTCCTTTAGAAGGCACGTTGACTACGTCTGTAAAAGGGCGAGCAAACTGAGAGGCTTCATAACCAGGACAACAAGAGAGATGCCAAGCCATGCCTTTTGTACACTGTACACGGCTCTTGTACTGCCGGTTTTAGAGTATTGCTCCTCTGTCTGGAGCCCCCACCAGGTTGACCTACAGAGGAGAATAGAGTCGATGCAAAGAAAGGCCACAAAGACAGCACTCTACTTGCAGGACAAGAGGGCAAGCAAGCTACCCTATGAAAGGCGGCAGCAATCCCTCCGGTGGTCCAGACTTGATAAACGTCGACTGTTCTTCAGACGGGTCCTCCTCTACAGGTACCTACATGGTGTCTGTCCCATCCCCGATGGTTACTTGAGGAGGTCTAGGCGAGACCCCTCGAAACTTGAACAGCGTTTTGCCCGCACCATTAGTGCCTCTACCTCCCTCTTTGTCCAAGCGCCTACCCTGTGGAATCACTTACCAGATGCTGCTCGCCAGGCCCCAACCGTAGACGAATTTAAAGATCTGGTGCGGAATCACCACGACACCTACTCTCTTCATTAGACTAAGTATTCTCACCCTTGTGTAAATTACATTCCAACATCTCCATTTCATCTGTTAACGTATGGCCGAGGAGGAAATCAGCATATGTATGCACGGGCTTCTTCCTTTTGATTGCCTCAGGCTCTCGGTCGTATGGTTGTTTTAGCCAATAAACACCTTTGAACCTTTGAACATTTGATTCACTCTTGGGAGTTGTTAACGGCCAATGGCAGTGAAGCAATCATTAGGACACTCGAGACTCACAGCGCCCCGAGTTGCTTAAGCTTTAAATGACAATTTTTTGTTTTATAATTAATGTACAACGCTGTCAAAGATGCTTACTTGAGCTCAGGTCTTCATCCAGCGTCTCATTTCCACGAGAGTGCGTGTCATCCGAACGCTAAATCAAGACACAGGCTCGATCCGGCGACTTTGACGGCTTTGTAATTTTCGACGTTTTAGAGCGCTACCATGTTTTGCCGACTGGGGCGCCGCCCTGCGGGCATTTGCGGGGACTGCGGTTTAGCAGACGGCGCAATGCCGTTCAACCAGATAGTTCTTCTACAACCTGTGTTAAAACCTCACGCGACAGAAAGACAAACAGCACGCCCAAAGAAATCGTGTAGGCTGTGCATATGCTGCGGCGTACCACCGTAATTTCCGCGGTCCCCTGTGCCGCAAGTGCCATCCGATGTCGAGAGTAAAGCGCCACTTGCGTCTGCTAGCGAGGCTAAAAAAAAATCAAAAACGATCTGGTGTACAAAACAGTCACTGACAGGACAGCAGGGAGGTCCTTCCGGTGCCCCGCCTCTAGCGCGAGTTTCCTGCCCTTGATTACGCTTCCGCGTCTCGTGAACATCGAGCATGCACGAGCAGCCAAAGCACGACGGAAGGCACGGAGCGCGTCCTGGAGGCAGCTGAAACAGACGCCGTGTCGTTCTCATCTCGTCACGGAGCGTATCGGTGTCCTCATCGCAGCGCAAAAAGCCGGCCTCTCAGAGTGGAGACTAAAGCGAATATCAGTGAAGGCTCAACCGGTACTAACCAGAAGACAAGGCCTGGGCCTTTCCCCCCGAAACGTCATCATTAGTGGACCGACGCCGCACCGCCTAGGTGGCGTCAGCGTCGCCGTCAAAGCGTCGTGCAGCGTCTTATAATGAACGCGACGCTATAGCACGCGAAGAATTTGCTACGTCTTTCATCGAACTTTGGCGTGTTTGGCGCTGGCAAGTCGGGGTCCCACTTATGATGACGTCATGCCCAAGCCACGGCCCAAAAGTTTCGCTGCAACGTGATTTCTCCAGTGTTGCGATGGAAAAAAAAAAAAAAACTTTCGGTTTTGTCCTCACCCAGAGTGTGATGGGACCGTCGAGTTTGAAGTAGCGCGGCTTTTCGACACGCTCCTCGAACAGGTGCTGCTGGTCCAACTCTACTGCCGTCTTGTAGCTGCGGGGAATCGCACTCTCACTCACGTGCCTAATAACGATGAGGATAACAATAATGTTTATTTCGCATAGTGTGCGTGACAGAAGCGGCACATATATGCAGCTTGACGAGTTCTCGGCTCGGTTCCGGCAAACTGTCAACAATGTCACTTAGAAAGACGCAACAAGAAGCAAAAATTAAAGCATCAATGTATCACTAGTCGTGTAGACAAAAACATTATATATATATATATATATATATATATATATATATATATATATATATATATATATATATATATATATATAACTTTGACGTTTCCACCCAAATATTCACGAGGGAAAGCGCTAAGAAAACCGCGCAACACGCGAGATTTGATATGACTTTGTGCCTAAAAACACGAAAACAAATGAGATGTAATTCTTTTGAAGTCTTGAAAAGAGATAACGTAACTGCGTTACAGGTTACTCGAACTAAGTAACTTCAAACGTTATTCGTTACTTTTTTAAAACCTAATACGAATACGCTACTACATAAACGAAAAACGTTGCGGGTTACCATAGTAACGCTGTTCCTTGTAACTCGTCGCCGCCAGCACAAGAAAAAAAAAGCCGATGAGCTCACTCTTTTGGGGAACGCGAAGACCGTAAGACAGCAAACCACGGGGAAATTTATAAGGGTCCCAGCAAATAGCGAAGCTGACAGGTAGCCTGAAATTTAGCTAAATGGGGGGGGGGGGGGGGGGGGGAGCAGGAGAGGAGGAGGGGTAGAGGGGAAGGAGGGACATAACCTCCCCTCCTCCTCCTCAAGAGCTGCGCTCTAATTCGGCATTACGGAGAATTGTAAACGTCTTTAATTGTTTTTTTTTAGAGCGTAGCAAGTTTTTACGCATTAAAAATGTGTATGATTCGTGTACGCGCTTCGTTACGGGTACATCGGGTTCGCGACAACCTGCAAACATAAGTCGAGACCTTTCGAACGGGGGGCGCAATTTGGCGGGCCCAGTCGGGAAATCCGGGCGGTTCTCGTTCCGCTCACCAGATGGCGGCGTGGATGTGGGCGAGCACCTCGGGGGCCTCCATGATGCCCGGCAGCAGCGGCGGGTGCAGGCAGCGGAGCAGCTCCTCGCTGGACATGGTCGAGAAGCGCACGCACTGGAGCACGCGCAGCACGTGCTCCTCGTGCTCCAGGTAGTTGTGGTTGAGCCAGTGCAGGGCCGCCAGGAAGATCACCATCTCCCTATGGGGATCCGGAATTTCAAGGAACCACGTTCCCGAAACGCGTCCCTTCAAAGGGGAGCGGAGGAACGCCGTCGTTCCAATTTTGCTTCGGTGGAACTGGAACTCGTTGCGTTTTCGAGAGAAACGGCAAAAAGCACTTCGTTCCTTTTTTTTTCAATTTTATTCGAACTTAGTAGGCATTTAGGCTTTCTATTAACGACTATTTCAACCTCCAACTTCAAAGGTTGGAGAAATGTCTGATAGTCGAAAACAAAGAACTGGAACAAATATGATTACGGGTATTTGTCACGTTGTTCGATGTGGACATTTTAATTCTCTTACTTAACTTTAATTTTTTCATTATCTCTCGCAATATTTCGTTAAAATGCGCAAAATAACGTCGACGTAACGACGCGTTCACGTCTTTAAAAAAAAAAAAACGTGTCGGGAAAGCGTTCATTTTGAACCTCTGGAACTCGCAACGTTAGCTCGTTCCAAGATTGAGAAGTAAGGAGCAGTAAGGTTCCTGTTTCGGAGGAAGCTCACCCCCTGGCGCCCACGGAGTTGCCGGAGAGCAGCTCGCACACCTGGGGCAGGTCGAGGTCCAGGAAGGGTTTGCAGGTGACCGTCTCCTCGAGCCGGTGCTGGAGCAGCCGGAGGGCACGCTTGCCCACCGACTGCAGGCCGTACTTGCGGGCCGTCACGTACACGTACACCGCGTGCTTCGGGTCGTACGGAGACTTGGTCAGGATCTGGGGTGGCAGAGAACCACGGACGCTGTGTATAGTGCGCGCTATCGGACAAGATCCCAGAACAGCGTCGGGATGGCCTGAGGCTCTGAGTTGGACACTCGGCGGGCAAGTCGGCGGTGCATGTACAGTCACAGTCTTGGCTAATTATTGTAGTTGTTTCAATGCCGCTTTCTACATTTTATTTCGATTAAATGTGTTGAATATTAATGTTGCGTTCTACGCAGATTGTATGTGCGCGATGTACGTAGTTCTGAGGGCCTTCTTTGTCTTTAATTACGCTTCCTGGATAGGAGGGAGACGTGAAGTGGATTTTTCAGCTTTTGTTTTCCCCCACGTCCCCCATCGCTTTAACCTGAGGAAAAGGTTATTATTATGTATTATTATTGTTATTATTATTATTAGTAGTAGTATGAGTATTGTTATTGTTATTATTATTATTATTACTATTATTATATCGTTGACTGCTACGAATGGTCAGAGCCGCGCAGCTATTGGCTAGCGTCAAGGTCAATCCTCACACAAATATATGTATCCAGAATTTCTATGGGAAGTAGTGTATGGAGGCTATAAACGCTCTAAAGAAAATAAATTCACTTTTCTGTAAACTGTCTATAGCTTTTTTGCTGCTTTTTTCGTTTTCTGTAGACTTAGAGAACATAGTATGAGTTTCGTGTTTTCGGATAAATCCGATATTATCCGAAGAAAACTCGCCGGTGAAATTTTATTAAATTCAAATTTATCCGAGAAACTCAGAATTTTGGGGTCACGACGAGCCAAGAAGAAACAAAAAGACAGTTTTCTACAAATAAGTTTGATTCGAACACAGATGAGCACCCGAGTCGTTACAAGGAGAGGTCTCCCCAGATTCCTTCAAAATCTCGTAGTATTGACCAAGGAAGCCTCGCCGTTTGTCCCGTCGGGTTTCGTTCAGGACAACGGGCCACTGTAATTCGGGCTCACGACCCAAACCACCGTTTTTCTGTTTGTTTCTGGATTCATATTCTTAGAGGTAGGTAGGGTTGTGACTTAATAACCGTGAAAGCTATCAAGTCTCTGACTTCATATAAGGGACCGCTGAAGCTTTTACCTTAACACTCCACCCCGCGCAGCCGCTGGAAGAAGCGGTAGGATAGGATGAAAACAAAAATAAGCTTTCCAACGACTTCGTCAAGGAGTGCTGTGATTTTGATGTGTCTTCTTCGAGGTTTGTCGTACGGCAGTTGGTATTACTAATGGCAAGGACGTCAATGTCATGTGGTACACGTGCGTTCTTATAAATATAAGGCAGGGTTATACCCGCCGGTTAATATATGTTTTTATCTTGTAATCGTTAAAATTTGGAAACATAGGAAAAATAAACTCCCTACTTCGGATAATTGAGAGTTTAACAAAAATATACTCCGATAAACTCCGAATATTGGGAAAAAGATTAACACCGAAAAACATCCTCTGAATTTCACAAGAAATGAACTCCGAAAAATTGGAATCCTAAACATATTGTAGAAAAATTGAATAGAGATTTTACAGTGAATAGATAAAACGTCTAACAACTTTTCTGTCCACGTTTTAAAAATAATTGCTCAGATTATTGCGTAGAAAATAAATTTTGTAGATTACTTTTTTTTTTTAAACTGCATGCATGGAGAAAACCACTTGCAACTTGTCACGTGCGCGTAAGCAGAAATTGCGAATACACGCGCCATGGAGCACTCATGACGTCTTTATTTATTGAAAGAAGTTTTTAATCAGTGCACAATATAAATGTGCTACCCGTGCAAGCAGGGAAAGATGACAACCGGGACATGTTGCTCGCCGAGGAGGTGTCGGGATCACAGACCAGTCGCAAATACCGACTCAAGCGGTTTACCGCAGCCAAGGGCAATCATTAGAACCCACTCGAGAAGTCAAAAGGTTTAAAATCATGTTGCTTTTTTTTCTCGCCAATATTTATACAAAATGTTTTTTCTAAGGGTTGGTGAGCTGTATCTCCAACTATAAAACATTGCAAGAGCCGATATGTACTCCACACAGTCTGAAAAGCAGCATCCGTATGAAGGTTCCAACTGGGTGTGATGTCGCTTTTCCGCACTACAACTTATAATTTTATCGAGTTTAGTCTATAGAAATACAATAGGCATATGGTGATATAATATCTATTAGGACGTGGTGATAGAAATTCCATAGCATTTATATCGTCGCACTCTACAGAATGCCAGTTGATAGAAAGTCTGACTGCTTCAAATATTTTTGTAAGGGAAGCGCGGCTGTGGTCAATCGCGGCGGTCGGCGAGTGTCGAACTTGACTCCCAAGACCGGACAGGCATTGTAGTGCCTTCCTCTTTATCCTCTATACGTTACAGGGTCATACTCCTTCCCTGCCGCTAGAGACTCATCGGCCAGTAGCAGTTGTGCTAAGTACTTCAGAATTGAAAACATATTTTCAATGAATCATTCGCGTGTTAGATGAGTCCAGACCCGAACACAAGCCTACTTGTAGAAGCAGATTCTTGGGTGAGGAGGAAGGCACGGCGTGGGTTTTTATGTTCACGTTTCTCGCTTCCCGATTCCCTGTTGACCGTTCTGGTTCTTCAACAGGCGAGTCTCCCAGTGAGCTAGAGGAGGAAGGAGAGCCCGTTACCTTGGCGCACTTGTGCTTGACGCGCGGCACCCGTAGGATGCTTGCCGTCACGTAGAGCTTGCCCACATTCTGGCAGGTGATGTGCAGCCTGCCGCTGTACATGTAGTCCAGCAGGACGCGGAACGCCTCGCTGGACACGCCCTGCAGTTCCAGCTGCGCACACGGGGAAACGGGGGGATGTACCGACGCGAATACGCTCTGCCAGCTCGGTACAGCGACAGCGTTCGCTCTCAGAGGACCAGAACACCAAATCCGAAACCTAAAAAAAAAAGAAAAAAAAAAGGGGGGGGGGGTTATGGGGATCAAGCCCCCTATCTGCACAGAATGGTCTCTAATATCCTTGTTTCACTGGCCGTTTCAACGATCATCGAGCCAAGGATCGTTGGCATCTCCCAACTATCATTAAGCTCCACTAAGTCGTTTGGTGTTACAAAGTATATGGCCCAACAACCCCAGTTAAGATATGCGCCAGGGGACTCACGTCATCGAAAAAATAATTTGACAATAATTGCTCCTTATCAATATATCAAAATAATTGCTACACTTCTTGAGTTTATACTTTTTAGTGTGAAATAAACAATAAAAACAATGTTTCAAGATGGAACTGAAAGCACGGGTACTGCCCATCCCAGTTGAAACTGAAACGAAACGAAAACTGGATGTCTAGGTTGCACATTCGAGGTCCGTTCACACACTTGCGACTGGCTAGGACAGAATGAGACAAGACCGGAATTTAAGCCTCTTGCAGCGGCTTACAGCCGGATGCGCTGCTGCGGAGCCGATCGTTAGCCGTCACAAGAGGCTTAAAAACCGGTCTCGTCTCATTTGGTCCTAGCCAATTGCATGTGTGTGAACGGGCCCTTACATGGACGTCTTAAAAGGTCGCGGAAGTGATGTAATGGCGTCTGATTGATGCAGGCAATTGGCTCCACCACTCAGACGCCATTACGTCGCTTCCGTGACCTGTTAAAACGTACATGTAAATGTCCAATCTAGCCATCCAGATGTATCATTAACTTTTTTTTTTTTTAAGTGATACAAATTATATGGACACTCTTCATTCAGTATAAAGTAACAAAAATATAATGAACGTTTTTTTTTGTTTTTTTAATTTATAGCAGAGAAAATATGCACGGTGTGTGGACGCAAACAAAAATAAATCATGACAGAACTCCTGGGGGGAGTATGTTACTTCCGGTTGGCTATTGTTTTTGCTTGTTCTTGATGACCCTTAGTGAGTAGCGCGTACTTTAAAAGTCTCACTGCCGAGGACTAACTGCGGTGCATCCCGAAATTTACTAATACGGGATCGACACCCCTCCCTGTTCGCTTGGGTGAAAAGAACGAGCCCTTGTTTCTCAAGGAAATCACAAATCTGCCGACGGTATCGCCGTGGGCTAATCTTCAGGACTACCCATTCGACAAGCATGGTCCATATACCTAAGAACAACGGAAAACATGCACATCTCTAAACGCGTTCAGCTACTTCGTGAACGGCAAGACACCGGCGGTGGGCACGTACACCACAGCGGACTTACGTACACCTACCCCTAGGTTCCAGAAATACGCGCTGAGCTTCCCCGCAGGGGTCACCGAGCCGGGTCTTGGTTTTAGCAGACTATCTCCCGAAAGTTTTTATTACGCTTGCTCTAGCGCGACAAGAGCCTTTGTAATGCACACTTTTGTAGTGTTTTGACTCGCTTGCTTTGGTATTCAAGGTTCCTTTCACAGATTAGCGTGCACAGATTGCATTTGTACGTGCCGTATCGGCCCGTCGTTATACGGGGATGGTCGGCGCCGCATTTTCGCGTTTGTCGCGTCGCGCCATCTGTCGGTAGCACATTGAAGTAGGCTAGCACCGTCTGCCAATGCCGTCGTCCTGCGATCACCCACGCTCGGTGGCGATGGTGGCGTCCGTCGTCTCGAGATAATCGAAATAACTTCACTCGTGACATTTTGGTCGTGCCGAGACGCATGGGAAACTTCAGTCTTTTACTGTGGATACATAAAAATCGAATTTACACCAGACCAGCAAACAGTCTAGGTGCATATCCCATGAGAAACCCAAAGCGAAGGATGCCGGCCATAAGAACCAACTAAAGTCAACAAACTTTAATTTTTGAAACAACTAAAACTCTAGATAGAACGTATCTGAGTGTTGAATTTAACAACACGTTTCCTGGTTTGAAAATGGATTGCAGAAGTTTCTTCGTTAGCAGTGAAATTGTATTCTGATTTGGATAGTGTGCTGCACCAATAACATAATCCCTAGGTATAGCTAATTTCAATGATATAGGTTTTCTTTGTATACCTTCATCTGAACTTGCTGATGATGCTGATATGTCGGAGGGACGTACGATTGCATTCTATAGCTTTTGTTTGTTGCTACTGTCTTCGGTTTTTCACGACGAATACTTACTTACGTTTATAGTGCCTTTTTTTACCAAATGAATGTAGTGTTTATTCTCCCTTGTTTCTATGACTTGTATTTCTTGTTTTATTTGAATTGTATAATGTTTTGTAGAATTTCTTATTATGTAACTATTTTGAGCTGCTGAACTTTAGGGGGCAGAGGCTTTGTCAGGCACCACGCCTTTATCTCTGCCCCTATGCGGCGAACCCGCAAAACAAATAAAGAAGAAAACATCTTTCAGCCTTTCCACTCAGGTGAAGAAGGAAGACCAGCGGAGCTGTACAATGGAGAGTAATGGCCGGCCGCAAGTCGGCAAGCCAGAGTGGAAAGGCTGCCGCCATCTATAAGCGACGGCGGCAACCAGATACGTGGCTTGCTGCCGTCGCTCATAGATGGCGGTAGGTGTCCAGAGTTTGGTGTCTTAATTTCTTTGCGGGGACACGATCCTGGGGAAACAAACCCTTAACAACTGCGCTGTAAAAAAGAGAAAAAAAAGCACGACGCAATGTCATTTCTAGAGCTTAGCTCTCATGGAATTGCTCGCTAGTGAACCCAGAGTCGTCGCGCACCCACCCAACCGGAAGTGGCGCGCACACCCTGCACAATCTGAATATTTCGCACGAATCCAAGCAAGAGATACACAACGAAAGTCTTTTCAGCACCGACATTACAATGGCCGCGCTCGCCGAGAGGGAGCTTCCGCAAAGTGCCGTGATCGCTTTAACTGTAGCTCTGGCCCCGAATCACACCTCTTCCGACAATATTTGCTGCTAGGATACTTTCTAGGTACCTCCCCTAATGTTCCGCAAGAGTAAGTACTTTGCTGGCGCATGGCCATCGGCGGCAACGCGACGGACGCCATCTTTAGCTGTATTGGGGCGAACCCCCATCAGTTACGTGAGGAAGGTCAGCTCAGTTCAACTCAATGGTCGTTAGAGGCTTGATGGCAGCTGGCGCTGCCGTGTGGCGCATAAAGTTAATATAACAATCCAGAGAAAAAGGTCCCATGCGTTCGGGCCGCCTCGGAATGGCGGGGCACAGGACGAGGACATCGGCGGTCCTAGTTGGTGATTCGCTATGCCCATATCGATGGCGACGCTTTAATATGAACAAAGCAGCAGCCAAACGTCATGTGAGGTCTTTATTTTGTTATTTGTTAGCTTACTCTTGCAGGAGAACACCGTAATCGCGCATTGTATAAAACTAAACAAAGTTGACAAGCGTTCAAGCAAAGTCCACTCGTCGCGGCCAAATAATCACGCCTAATCTTTCGTCTGCTTTGTTTCTCCACTCTTCTATCGATTTCTCGTTTTTTCTCTCGATACCGTCGATGTGAGCGGTTAGGGTTTGCCGCGTTCTGCTCCCGTCTTTACCCCCCTGGTGTAACACTGCTTGATCGCGATTGAGTCAATAGTCGTTGGCTCAATAATCGCTGAAACGGTCCGTGTAGCGGGGGTGTAATACCCATGCCACACGGTAAAAAACATACCGTCAGTTTCGTGGAATTATATTATCCGATCGGCCAATCACCATGCGACACGCATGGCGCAGCACAGTGCACGCGCAACGCTCGTAGGCATCATCACGACCTGATTTGCAAGTCACTTAATGTCCTTCGATGGAACTCATATTACATTTGATTACTTGGTACCAGTAAAATAACGCTGTCAAGACCATTTCAACCTCAAGGTGAAAGAATTACGCTTAAAAAACAAAGAACAAAACTATAAGTAAAGTACGCAGATTGTAATCATTCCAGGTATACTCAATAGATGGCTCCCCCCTCGTCGTAAGCAGTCGCAACATGTTGCAGCGCACTCAGTTACACCCAAGCGCAAGCGCGTGAACCAGTCTCCGAGTTCTTCGTGCACATGCTCCTCAACCTCGAGGATTATTCATGGCTCGCACTGACGTCATACCAGCGGCCATTGTTGTGGCACTGCTGCTGAGCGCGTACTATCGGCAACAATATGAAAGGGAACGCTTCATTTCTCTTCTTTCTAGTTTTACAGCTCCCGGCACAACCTTCGTTAAATCTCAAACTGTCAAACAGTAGTAGCTTGGGATCTTGCCTTTCCGTTGTAGCCACCGTCGGGACCGTAATGTGTTCCGAAATTTGCTGGCACGTCAAAAAAGCGAGGATGCCTGTTCCCTTTCCTATTGTTGCCCATAGTACCTTGTGCCGCATACGTTTCAAACTATTGAATGTTTTTTTCTCGGCCGGAAGAAATAGGAATGACCTCCGGCAGAATGCGATGACGTCAAGAGTAAACCACGCGTTTGTTTTCAAACCGCGGAAGTAACGCAAGCGGAAGAACGGAAGGGCACCGCTCCTTCCTTTCCTTGGAGAGCGTACAGAATCCCACGAGCAGACTCGATTTGTTCACCGCCTCGAGTCAGAAAAAAAAAAAAGAAAAGAAAAATCGGTTCGAACGGGCACCGAACACGCGAACGGCTCATCCCGACGAACACAGCGTGCATGCCAATTAACGCCACCCTCCCTCCACCTTCGTCGGAACTCCTGAGAGCGAGAGCCCTCCCCGCCTGCTTTAAGAGCGTCCGGCGACCATCGTCAGCTGATGTTCCTGATTCCGCGCCCAATCGATTAATACCCCCTTCTCTGGAAAGGCGAGTGCCCGCTCATTCCCCAGCGAGTGTTTCAGTGTATGGCCCAGGCCCCCGCGCACCGCCGCAGGGACGATCGCACGGGCACAAGTTTGGTGCGGCGGGCGGCCACCCG